TAATTCCATTTATACATTGATAAAAGATACATTGAAATGAAATTTATAAATATATAAAATGTATGTACCAGGCAATGATTATTTTGTGGTTTGAATTGAGGTAGCTACTAGAGTGCTTTTAATGCTTTCCTCTATTTTTGTGAAGTAATTATGAACATATTTTGATAACTCAATTTGTATTTCTTTGTTTGTATTTCTCAGAATGCATATTAGTTTTTCTTCATCTGTTTTGTTAGTTGGCAGTATTAAAACAAGATGTGGGTGTGTCATTATCCAAAAATAGTAGCATGTATCCAAACAATCAATGATCCAAACATAGTTGGATCATTGTTTCTGGTTTTATGACCAAAATGGGACTCCATATTAATGATCAAAAAATTGAATTTATAACAACATGTTCATGGGGATCTAAGTTGTTGCATTATAATCATAAATTTTAGTGTTTGGAAACTGGAGAATATTTTTTATGTTTTTATTTTTATAAACATGTGCATCCACAAATTGTTTTAATCTAAGAAACATACGAACAAAACCTACTGGTAGAACATATTTGGCTATGTTCATTTTAGGATTTATTTTCAGCCTGAGCAAGGCTAGTGTTATATATATACACCACATGATTGGTATATTTCAGAAACTCTGCCAACCGAATATACCAGAGATACAACATTGTGAATTGTTACCATTAGAATGCATTGATCAGAAAACAAACTTGTACATGTTTTCAGACTTACTTGATCAGACTTCTGTACATATTTCTAATTTGTCAGGTTGGACAGAAGAGGTGGAGAGTAGATACCAATTCCCGATTGAATTCCATCTTGATGTTGTCATCTGTCAATCTACCGGGAGGTGAACTAAGAAGAAGATCAGCTGAAGATGAACTAATGATGAGACAATATTTATCTGAAGGTGATCTCATTAGTGTATCCTTTTTTGCAGTGACGTAATTAAACTAGAAAAGTCATTTTCAGTATATACCCTATGTATAAAATTTATTTTTGAAATGCAGGTCACTGCTATTTCATCACCGAAGTGATTCACATCTTGAGTGTCCAATAAATAATGTACAAATCAAACTTTTGGGTCTTAAATCATGTATTGGAAATGATATGCAGTATTTCATATTAATATAGTATTTAAATTTCAAAACTGAAACTGCATCTTTCTATTTTCACAGCTTTCTTTTAGGATGTCCAATAAAACAAACTCACTGAAGGGACATTCTTTTCCATGTTATATTCCCTAAAAAAAAATCTATATCTATAAATCTATAAATCTAAAGAAATTAATTTATTTAATAAGGAAAGTACTGAAAAAAATAAAATTAAACTGTTAAGGGCTTATTATGCAATAGAGATATTATTATTGGGCAAAATAATCATCTATTCATGAGAATCTACAGGTTATTTGATACCACACAATGTATACCATCAAAGTTACCACCGGGGGTAATCCTGAAAAAGAAATTACTTGAGCCATTGTTGTCTTATATAATAAT